TCTCCTGCCCGGGATGGCTTTGAACCGTGATCCTCAGATCTCAGCCTCCTGAGTAGCTAGGATTACAGGCGTGAGCCACCAGCGCCCGGCCAAAAATAATTTTTAAAAAGCCTGACCTGTCCTATTACTTTATCTTCTGCCTCAATACTAATTCCTCTTTTTCTAATATGAAGAGAAAGAATGACTCTTAAGAGGTAGTGATGGATACTGTTTTACCAATAATCATTGGAGTATAAATGGAAACTTCATTCAGTCTTTTAAATAAACTAACCTTTTTATATGGCCTTCTAACTGAGAAGGCCTTTTTTTAGGCCTTACGGACTCCTAAACTCACTACCAAGGTTTTAAGAAGCACTTCTCATAAATTAGATTCAACCACAGCCAAACTGACCTGCTCCTTCAAGAGCAAGCTTCTTAAATTCTTCATTTTTTTTCCGCATCTCCATCACTTCCTGCTGCATTTTCAATGATTTCTCTAACTCTTGCTCCTCAGTACTTTTTAGAACCTTCTGCCTGAAGAGCAAAAGAGGAGAGAGAGGCTGAATAATTCAGAATAATTTAAAGGTTATTATAGGCAAGAACTACAGATCGTTTTGTTTTTGTTTTTTGTTTTTGTTGTTGTTGTTGTTGATCCTGGGGCTTGAACTCAGGGCCTGGGCACTGTCCTTGAGCCTCTCTGTGCTCAAGGCGAGCACTCTACCACTTGAGCCACAGCACCACTTCTGTTCATGAGATACTGAGAAATCAAAGCCAGAGCTTCATGCATGCTAGGCAAGCACTCTACCACTAAGCCACATTCCCAGTCCCTTGACTGTTTTTAATCTATGATAAAATAATAATCAAAAGCAAAAAATAATTCCTGGGCACAGGTGGCTCACGCCTGTAATCCTACCTATTCAGGAGGCTAAGATCTGAGGATTGCAGGCAGGAAAGTCTAAGAGACTCTTATCTCCAATAAAACACTCAGAAAACTGGAAAAGGTGCTGTGGCTCAAGAGGTAGAGTGCTAGCCTTGAGCTGAAGAAACTAAGGGACAGTGCCCAGACCAAGAATTTAAGCCCCACCACCGACATTTAAAAAAAAAATACAGGGCTGGGAAGGTGGCTCAGTGGTAGAGTGCTTGCCTTGCATGCATGAGGCCCTGGGCTAGATTCCTCAGCACCACATAAGCAAAAAGAAAAAAGCCAGAAGTGGTGCTGTAACTCAAGTGGTAGAGCGCTAGCCTTGAGCTGAAGAGCTGAGGGACAGTGCCCAGGCCCAGAGTTCAGGCCCCACAACCCGACCCAAAAAAAATATTATCTAGTACACATACGAGATTAGATTTTTCATCTTCTACCAGTCTTGGAGCTTGAACTCAGGGCCTAGCCACTGTCTCTGAGCTTTCTTTGCTCAAGGTTACCACTTTACAACTTGAGCCGCAGCTCCGCTTCAGGCTTTTTTTTGTCAGTCATGGGGCTTGAACTCTGGGTCTAGGCACTATCCCTTGAGCCCTCTTGCTCAAAATTAGCACTATACCACTTTGATCCACAGCTCCACTTCCAGCATTTTCTGTGATTAAATTGCCCAGGACATTTTCCCAAACTCTAGGTGCATTATAATACAAATATACTGGTTTGTATTCTAGTCCTTTACCTTAGAGGTGGCACACAAGTCAAAGAATGTTTGCCCTTGGCTTTCTCTGGGGAAGATCCATTCTTTTTGGAAGTACCTTGAGCACGGTCTTCATTTTCCTTTGGCTTCTTTTCATTGTGAGACCTTGAGTTCAAAACAAAACAAAACAAAAAAATACACAAATTCCTTAAAGCATATCATACACCACCCTCCTCCCCAAATGGACTACATAAAGCTTAAATAGCCTCATTTTTAGGATAACAAGCATGCTTCTACTATAATATACTCCCAAGATGAGTATCAGATCATACACAACAATGCCTCTACTAAGTAAACTGTGAGAAAGCCCACAGGGGTCCGACTGGGAGCTATGCAGTGGTGATTCAGGAAGTACAGAGGGATTCTAGTTGTTCATCATCAAATTACAAGCAGATAGTTAACTAGATGCTAATAACTATTCCATCCCTTTCTATTTACTAAAACCTCAATTTGGAGTATAACAGCACAAACCCAAGATATTTTACCTAGTTCAACAATATAATTTACCTAGGTCACTAAACTCTCTTCCGAATAGGAGGCCCAAGTATCACGCTAGACAACTAAGACATAATTTAAGGGCTTCTGGGGAAAAACTCATTTTAATATGAATTCTGCCCCATACAGCAGATGTACTCATTTGTAATTTTCCTATGTTCACTCAAAGGTATAAGTCCAGGATAGGTCTATAAAGCACAAGATGCCTGCCTTTACAGTAAGAAGTTGTGGCCACATACACTTTCATTTTCTTGGAAGGTGGAATTTCACTGATGATGACAGGTGTTGAACATCTCTTTGCTTTCATTTGAATCTGGCATTTTTCCTTCTGCTCCAAATTCTTCTGAGCAGAGAGTCTAGTAGATCTTCTATAAAGAGTAATTGACAACATTTATCTCATAATGAATACATCTTCTGTAGATATGTTCTTCAAAAATGTAAAATTGGTCCAACTACAAAGGGCTATAAAAAAGTTTAGTATTATTATCTGTATTTCAGAAATCTAATCTCCTTAAAAGTATTTTTTGTTTGTGCGGAATCATTTTTAAATACTTTATTTGAGGCATTTTATTATAAAAAGTTAGTACTCATAAATTTATATGAGCTTAAAATTCATTATACATTTACTTCATTTTTTAGCTTGACCTTCTAGTAAATCTTTAGCTTCATTGATTTTGGCTGCTATGTAAGGCGATCCTCCTTTGTCTGGGTGATTTAAGAGCATAATTTGTCGATGAGCACCTCTTATCTTTCCTTTATTGGCAGTAGGGCTTACACTTAGTATTAATGCTGCTTCCTGTTTTGTCATTTTGGGTTTAAATCCACCTTTTTTAATAGCCACTGCTGAAGGCAGATTTTGGTAGGCTTTGAAAAACTTGTTTTACTTGAGGCTCCATATGCTTCATGGCTTGTAAAACGTAATGGCCTGCAAATCCTGCAGCAGCAATGGTCAGCCCAACTGCTACCACTGTACTGGCCATGGCTCCGTGAAGCTCCCCTGCCTCCACCGGGAGCATGTTTCATCCCCGCCCAGAGGCCTCAGTCTTCACAGTGTTGATATTTTGGTATATATTACATTCCAAGTTTTTGAATGCATATGTATACCTGTTAATTTTTTTTGGGGGGAGGGGTCTGGTCATGGGGCCTGAACTCTGGGCCTGGGTGCTGTCCCTCAGCTCTTCAGCTCAAGGCTAGTGCTCTACCACCTGAACCACAGTGCCACTTCCAGCTTTTTTCTTTTTGCTTATGTGATGCTGAGGAATCGAACTCAGGGCCTCAGGCATGCAAGGCAAGCGCTCTACCACTGAGCCACCTTCCCAGCCCCATCTGTTAATTTTTTTTGTTATACCAGCTAATTTCATAACAAGCTTTTAAAAATATATATAGTTTGTTATTATAAAGGTGATGCACAGAGGGGCTACCATTTCATAAGTCAGGTAATAAGTACATTTCTTTTTGGACAATGTCACCCCTTCCTTGGCTCTCTTCCATTTCTTTTCCCTTCCATCCCCACCAGGAAGTTTTATAGATTATTTTCAACATAGTGTCCAGTATCACTACTGCATTTGTTCATCATTTGTCCATTTCTGTGCCCCCATCAAGAAGACAAAACAAAATAACAACAAAAAAAAACCTTCTTGTTTCCATTTCCTGAAATTCATTTCAATAAATATTATTTTATATAATCAGAGGCACAGAAGCATTGGGCCTTTGTGTATCCTCCTCTGGTCTTACTGTATGTGAATGCCTACAGTCCTCTGTATTTTATATCTAGCTTCTACATATGATAGAAAACATGTGCTGTTGGTTTCTCACAGACTGGTTTACCTCACTTAAACACACTTTAATCTTGTAAAAAATAGAAAAAGAAAGGAAAAGAAAAGAAAATAGAATGTTAGAGCAGGAAAGGGAAGGAAAAAAAAAGGAGGGCAGGATATGGAAAGGAAAAAATAAGACCCAGTACTGGTGGCTCACACATATAATCATCCTAACTATCTGGGAGGCTAAGAACAAGAGGATCAAGGTTAACCAATAGCTGAATTAAAATACTAAAATATTAAGTATTTGAATAACAGTTGGAAATGTAGCTCAGTAATAGCTCATTTTCCTACCATGCAAGACATGGGGCTCCATCCCCTGCATGAATAAATTAATACATATAGAAGTACATAAATATGGAGCTGGGAAGGTGGCTCAGTGGTAGAGCGCTTGCCTTGCATGCATGAGGCCCTGGGTTCGATTCCTCAGCACCACATAAGCAAAAAGAAAAAA